AGGCAGAGGCAGAGGCAGACAGCTCTCTGTGATCTGAGGTCGGCCTCAGAGCTAGTTCTAGGATTGCCAGAGCTACACAGAGAAACCCTTTCCCAAAAAGAGAGAAATTGGTTCTGTTACAAGTTGATGTTTAAAGGAGTTGAGATGGTTGGCAATCACTAGGGTGCAAAGCATGTAGGAGCCACTAGGAAACTGAGAAACCAGCTGAATTTGTAGAGCAGTGCGGGGTGTGTACCTTACTGCAGAGGTCCTGCTCCTTCAGGGAGTTGCTATGACTGTTACATAGAAAAATAATTCTGAGCGCTGGAAAGAAGGCTCAGGGCTTAAGAGCATTTGTTGCCTTTCCAGAGGACCCAGGTTTGATTCCATGGGGTTCACAGTGATCTGTACTTTCAGTTTCAGGGGATCTGACTCTGTCTTGGGTCCTTCACAGGCACAGATGTGCGTACAGGCAAAACACCCATAGCGTACAGGCAAAACACCCATACACATAACATAAAGTGAGTAAACCTTAAAGAACTAGAAACTCTGAAGCCGTGCCTGTGATGAAGCATTTAGACCTTGTGGGATTATGTAAGCGAGGAGTACAGAGTAACAGCCAAGAGAACAGGGGGGTCTTAAAAGTGACCCTCAGGGTTCCTGAAGGGGGCCAAGGAGACTACCCTAACTAGGGGCATGGCACGCGAAAGCCACAGAGAGAGATCCTGTCAACCTGAGCTCTACGTCCCTTCATAGTTACCACTTCAGAGATGACATGGGGAATGTGTCAAGTCCGTGTGGGCCTGGTCCACAGTAAGTGCTCTGTAGTAGTTGTGGGAGAGGTCTTGATGCTTTGGTAAATGAAAATGAGGGAGTAAGTAAAGCTTTTGGCCTGAGGTATGTGACTAGGATGGGGGTGGTTACTGTCTGAGACTCAGAGAGCCTTTGCCTGTGGGGAGACAGGGCTTGTTCTCTGACAAGAGCTCAGTGACAGGAAAAAGCTAGCTGTCAAGAGGGGAGGTGGCTTTTAGTCTAAGCTTGCCAAGTTCTTTTTTTTTTTTTTTTTTTTTTTTTTGGTTTTACGAGACAGGGTTTCTCTGTTTTGGAGGCTGTCAGTCCAGCCTGGCCTCGAACTCACAGAGATCCGCCTGCCTCTGCCTCCCGAGTGCTGGGATTAAAGGTGTGCACCACCAACGCCCGGCCGCTTGCCAAGTTCTAAGGTCTAGACTTTCTCCTTCCCATCAGATGGTCCCCAGCTGGGAAGCCATCTGCCAGGGAGTCATGACCTCTTGATGAAGGACAAAGGGTTGCTCAGCTCAGGTAGTGAGTGAGTGACTACTGCTGTTAGAAGGGGTGTGAGCTCCAAGTAGTGTCACACACAAAGTAGGGAGTAAATAGGACAGGAGTAGACCGAATTAGGTGGCTGGTTGTCGAGAGAAGACAGGGTTGGAGACAGTTGAGCTGCGTGGTGGATCTCTCTTTTGTGTGAGCTAGAATCCGTCAATATTTTCAGAAAAGTCATTTTCTGAAATGGGAGCAAGTACCTATAGGTCACTTCAGGCTTCACGGCAGTTCTGTTTGGTGCAGGCAACATGTTGCTTGGTGTGCCATTAGGAGAAAGGGGAGCTTGACCAGAAGAATAGCCTGTGGTAGAGGGGAAGTGAGGTAGGGGTAGTGTCCAGCTGTGTGTGGTTTTGTGTATCCCAGGAGTGGAAAACCAACTCTAAAACTTTCTCATCTATCTATCTTGTTGATTTTTGTGGGGTGGGGGGAGTGAGTGGGTTGTTTTTGAGAAAGGGTTTCACAGTGTAACCTATCCTTGAACTCACTATGTAGACCAGGCTAACTTAAAACTCAGAGGCCTGCCTGCCTCTGCCTCCTGAGAGTTGGGGTTAAAGGTGTGCGCCACCACCCAGCTCCAATTTTTTCTTTTCCTTTTTTTTTTTTTTTCTTTTTTTGAGACAAGGTTTCTCTGAGTAGCTCTAGCTGACCTGGAGCTTGCTCTGTAGACCAGGCTGACCTCAAAGTCAGAGATCCACCAGCTTCTGCCTCCCCAGTGCTGGGATTAAAGCTGTGCACCACTGCCAGTATTTAAAAAAAAAATACTAGGAAAAGAAACTGGAAAGGACTGGAGAAATGAATCAGGTCTTCCAGAGGACCTGGATTCCATTTCTAGCACCCACTTGGGGGCTCACAACCACTGTAACTCCAGTTCCAGGTGATCCGATGCTCTCTTCTATCTTCCTCAGGCATGCCTGTGGTGCACTGACACAAAGGAAGAAACACGCAAAATATCTTTAGAATAGTAATTTAGTGATTAATGCTTCAAAATTGAGTCTTTATTCCCTAGCTGCCAGTAGTGTCTTATTTCAGCCTTTCTTCCTTCCACTGGTAACTTCATTGTTCTGGAATGGCTTACTCTTGTTTCCTGTCTGGGATTGTAGACAGAAGTTTCTGTCCCGCCGGGCCCCACAACTGTTTAGTCCCAAATAAACACACAGAGGCTTATATTAATTATATACTGTTTGACTGATGGTTCAGGCTTCTTATTGGCTAGTTCTCTCTTAATTATGAATCCATTTCTATTAATCTATGTATCTCCACATGGTCTTGGCTTACCAGAAAATGCCCAGGCACCCTATCTTCCCAGTAGCCACATGGCATCTCTTTGACTCTGCCTACTATCTTTCTCTATCCCTGTTTGGATTTCCCACCTGGCTAAATCCTGCCTGTCCATTGGCTAAAACAGCTTTATTCATCAACCAAAAAGAGAAACATATATTTGAAGCATACGGAAGGACATATCCCCATCATGGAATCTTCTTGACCAACCTTTAAGGTCCACCCTGCAGGAGCCTTCCATCGAGCCTGTCTTGGGTCCCTTCAGGTGCTTTCTGGTGCTGATGCTCCGACTCTGTACAGTTGTCCCGAGCCCATATCTTCACGTAGCAGATACCTCCTCAACCATTCTCCCTCCAGCAAGGTCAACACCCCTTTTGTTTTGAATTGGTGCTCATCATACATTCAGTGCTGTTTTACGTGCACATTCCCTTGTTTCATACTCCAAACAACCCCACAGTTGGTAGAACAGAAAGTCTCATTTGTGCCGGATGGTGGTGATGCACACCTTTAATCCCAGCACTGGGGGGGGGGGGGCAGGCAAGGCAGGTGGATCTCTGTGAGTTTGAGGCCAGCCTGGTCTACAGAGAGAGAGTTCTAGGATAGGTTCCAAAGCTACACAGAGAAACCCTGTCTCAAAAAGCCCCCTCCCCCCAAAAAAAAGAAAAAGAAAGTCTCGTTTAAAGTTTTGGTGTTTTGGTTTTTTGAGACAAGATCTCATCATGTAACCCTGACTGGCTTGGAGCTTTCTATAGACCAGGCTGGCCCCGAACTCAGAGATCTTGCCTGCCTTTGTGTCTCAAGTGCTGGGATTAAAGGTGAGTGCCTCGTCTGCTGTAACAGAGGCAAAGCTAGGAGGTTAGCCCGCCTCTTTTGTGCTGGGCTCCCAAGACCACTCGGCCCTCTCGGGTACTGACTGAAATCCTCTGTTCCCAGCTTGCCCACAGTCCCTGTGTTCTACTCAGTATTTGTCACTTGAGAAGCAGTGAGTCGTATAGTACCATGGGTCCCTTTGGAAGGAAACGGGGAACTGGGACCTGTGGGTTTCATCGGGGCCTGAGGTTAAGAGTGATGTAAAGAGCACACAGAGAGGCACGCATGGGAATGATAATTGTCTCCACCTGTGGCTTTATCTTTTCCCTTGTATTACTTTAAATGTGTCTGTGTAGGAGTGTGCATGTGTGGTCATTGGGCTTGTTGACAAGCACTGGTACCCACTGAGCTTTTTCCCAGGCCCTCCACCTATGACTTTCAAATATAGGGGATATGGTTTGCCTTCTTTCAACAGAAACAACCTAGTGTATTCACTTACATGGGGCATTTCTTGGAAGAAAGGGAAACCTGACGACCTGAGTTCACTCTCTATGACCCACATTGTGAATTAGAGCATTGACTTGTACAACTTGTCCACTGGCCTCCACATGCTCCACATGGCATGTCTGTGTGCATACACACAGTGAATGTTAAAAAATAATGGGGGGGAGACACATTGAAAAGTCACTATTTGCTTTTGACCTTAGAGTGTGTTGAATGTATCTTTTCCCCGTCTGCTTATGGTCAACATTCTCCAGGTAGGACGGTGACTGCTCTCTATGTAGGATGTTGCAGAGCTGCTGTAAGCAGTAGATTTGATGGTGGCAGAGAGAGAAGCCCCATCTTTTTTTGGGGGTGGGTTTTTTTTTTTTTTCATGACAGGGTTTCTCTGTGTAGCTTTAGAGCCTGTCCTGGTACTTTCTCTGTAGACCAGGCTGGCCTCGAACTCACAGAGATCCACCTGCCTCTGCCTCCCGAGTGCTGGGATTAAAGATGTGTGCCGCCAACGCCCAGTGGTTCTCAGATCTTGATGCATCCGGGGCATCCGATCACCTGGGAGCCTTGTAAAACTACAATTGCAGGCTCCTCCCATCATTTCTAATGCAGAGGCTAGAGTGGGGCTTGAGAATTTGCATTCTGAGTTTCCAGGTAATGCTGCTGCCCGCCAGTCTGTAGACCACACTGAGTGCCAATAGCTCTAGGTAACTGAGCAGCGGGTATTCAGGCACTGTAGGCATACCTGCATTGTATGTGCATAGACTTACTCTGTTAGAATTCTTGGAATGCATTTGGAAAAATGGAAATTCTGAAGTTTGGGAGTCCTTGTTACACATATTTGAAAAAGGAAAATTTGTGGAAACAACAGTCACAAATGAATATTTTATAGATAGACTAACGATATCTAGTTGGCTACATATGTGAAATTGCTTTTATAAAATGAAGGGAGTTTATTTTAAGTCACAGTTGAAGCAATATTTTAAATAACTATGTTTTTAAAACTGAAGTTCATAATGGAGTATAAAATAGTTTAACTTAGCTTGCTCATCTCAATGTGCTGTTTACTGTATGTATTTTTCTTTCTCCTCCAGGCTGCTGACTTGAGTAAACCAATAGATAAAAGGATATACAAAGGAACACAGCCTACCTGTCATGACTTCAACCACCTAACAGCCACAGCAGAAAGTGTCTCTCTCCTAGTGGGCTTTTCTGCAGGCCAAGTCCAGCTCATAGACCCCATCAAAAAAGAAACTAGCAAGCTGTTTAATGAGGAAGTAAGTAGCACCCCACCTGAGCTGTTGACCCCTGTAAGAGTTTCTCTGTTCTTCCTCAAGGGTAGCGGGCCTTAGTTTACATGTTGAGCTGAGCTCTTTTCATCTGTTATGTAAGTTTAAATGTTGTAGATTAGTATTTGAGCTTGTTTTTCCTTAGGGTATAGTCTGTGCATTTGTGCAGAGAATGACCAGCCATCTCCACAGATATCGTAATCCCTCTGCATGGGAACTGGGGAGATGGCTCAGTGGGTACAGTGTCACTTGGGATTTCCAGCACCTACATAAAGCCAGGCATGGCCAGTTGTCTCTAATCCCAGCCCTGGGAAGTGGAGACAGAAGGATCCCAGGGATTCACCACTCAGCTAGTCTAGATGACAGTCAGTGAGCTCCAAGAGACCCTGTTTCAAGAAATAAGGATACAAGACAGTATCTCCACAGGTGTGTGCCTCATGTATACATGCATGCACATGCACACACATCACTTCTGTAATGGATACAAGCATATTGATAACTTGAGATGTGATTTTTGTTTTGAGGCGGTGTCTTACTGTGTAACCCTGATTGGCCTGGAACTCTTGTAGTAGACCAAGCTGACTTGGAACTCACAGAGATCCTCTGCCTCTGCCTCTGCCTCCCGAGTGCTGAGATTAAAGGTGTGCGCCACCATACCCAGCTTTTGAAATGTATATTTTAAACAAAATACAGAATTGCAGTCATTCTCCAGGTCACTGAACAATTACACACAGATGGAATGACTTGGTGACATGCTCTAATGCTGCTTAAATTTCAGCTTAAGCTTTTGTGTGCATTTGACAAGCCTTTGGAATGCTAAGGGATAAGCTCATGCTCTTGAAAATATTTCTTACACAATTACCTTTGGCATGGTTGGGATTCCTGAACCTAAAACTGAATTGCAAGACACAGGTTTGCCCGTGTTGTGTATACTGGGGTTTCTGGTGTATCTTCAGTTCCATTTAGGTAGGAGCTTGAACTTTCTGACCTACCTATTCAGGGACACATTGGGATTTATACGTAGCAGACAGGAGTTGTCAAATAGATTGTATTTAATTAGGCTATTACAGTGGCTTTTCAGCTTCAAGTATTACCACATATTTGATACTCTCTCTGTCCTGTTTCAGTGTGACTTAGCTAGAAAATGGCAGAGATGAAGTAGACCTGAGGAGCTGGACCTCTAGGTTCCAGGCTCCACCTTGTTGCTCAGCTTTTATGAAGGGTTGTGTTACGTGACATACAGCAGCCTCAGTTCTGACTCTTTGTAGTCCTTATGGCGTGTGCTGTCTGCATATCCAGTACCATTCTGGTTCCTTTTGTGTCTACTAGGAATAAATTTGCCTCTTAATTGACAGCTGAAGAGAAAAACTATTTGACCCTATTTTCCTTTAAAAATCTTAATCAGGCCGGGCGTTGGTGGCGCACGCCTTTAATCCCAGCACTCGGGAGGCAGAGGCAGGTGGATCTCTGTGAGTTCGAGACCAGCCTGGACTACCAAGCAAGTTCCAGGACAGCCTCCAAAGCCACAGAGAAACCCTGTCTCGAAAAACCAAAAAAAAAAAAATCTTAATCAGAAAAAAAAATCTTATTTACCCAGATATTTTATTAATGCCATCAGAGGAAGTGATTTGTATGTAGCTCTGTGATTTTATATATTCATTCATTCATTCAGATGGGGGCTGAGGAGGACAGCAAGGTAGGAGGCACAGAGTTACTCTTCTCTGAGCTGTTAACAGAAACTGGAGTTGGAGTCATTTATGGGGCTTTGCTTGTGTTTGGTAGAAGAGCGTGTGATGGACTGGGAATGGATTGAACCCCGTGCCAAGCTGTTGGTAAACAAGACCCAGAGAGAGTTCTGACTGAGGATGGCACAGAGTGCCGCTTAGAGAACAAGAAAGGTTTGTGTGTTGTGCTGGGGGAGGATGGGGGCCTTAGTGCCCACGTGGCCCTGCCCTGGTGGTGGAGCTGCAGGGTAGAAGCCGGTCCTCTCTCCTCATGCTGTAAGCACAAGTTCTTGCCTACTCTTCGATTGCAGTTGGAAGTGGCTGTTCTGAGTGCTAGGACTGCATGCTTTAATGCCAGGTTGGCATTTGAAGCTCAAGATTGAAACCGAGTGCCCTTCACAAGTCTTTGGTGGTGTGAATCCATTTCTCTCAGGCACAAAAGCTGTACTTCTCAGAGTGCCAGCAATGATGTAGAAAGATGTCCTTGTGTTAGTGTGAGAGTTAGAGGACTCTGGTACTTGCACATAGGAGGGTGGAGGGTTGGCTTTCACTTTACAGATGAAGAAATCTGCAAAGAAATGCTATCTATGTGCCTTGTCCACACCAGGTAGCAAGCTCATAGAATTATCATGATAGAGCTGGAACCAGCAATGAATTTCAGAGACTCTGTGAGCCCCACTAGGTGGAGTTGCCGGTCTGCCTTCTCAGCAGCTCAGTTAGTAAGGGTGGACAAATGGAGTCCAGGCATGTGTTGTCACAGTCATATCCATGAAGTGCTGATAGGATTCGTATAACTGTGTTCTTTTGGTGGTTGTTTTGAGACAGAATTTCCTGTAAATCAAACTGGCCTAGAACTCACTCTGTACCAGGCTAGCCTTGAACTCATAAAGATTCATCTGCCTCTGCTTCCCAAGTGCTGGGGTCATGAAAGTATTCTTTAATATGTCAAATAAAAATATTTTAGATTTATTATGTTATGTATATGGGTGTTTTACCTGCATTTATGACTGTACACCACGTTCATGCTTGGTGCCAAGGAGGCTAGAAGAGGGTGTCAGATCCCCTGAGACCGAAGTTACAGACCATTATTAGCCACCATGTGGGTGCTAGGAATTGAACCGATCCTTTGCAACATCTTAGCCACTGTCCCCTGCTCCCTGTGCCGTCCATCCCAACGGGTATTTGAATTTTTTCTTAAACGTCAGATTTGGCTGGAAGCATGGACTAACTCACTGGGAGGCCAAGGTAGGAAGAGCGCTAGTTTGACTCCAGTCTGTGCTTCGCAGAGATCCTGTATCAAGAGAAAAAGAGGGATTGGTGAAAGGTGAAAGTTAGCTTCAGTGGCACGTCTGAGAAGTACTTCCAGAGTGCAGCACTTGTGACGGCAGGATGAAGGCCAGGATGGCCAGGATGCTTTTGAGACTGAAGGAAAGGAGATGGGCATGGCGTCAATGCATGCCTGGAATCCCAGCACTGGGGAAGCCAGCCTGGGCTGCAGAATATGACCCTGTCTAAAAACAAACAAACCAGAACAAAAACATTAGAAAGAAAACCACTTGGCATTTTCTGGTACCTGAAGTTACAGCATGAGCACGCCACTGGGTGGAGCTGGTGGTGATAGCAGAAGTCATCACCAGAGAGAGCAGTTAAAACCAAAGTACTCGTGTCCTGTGCAGAAACTTGGACTTACCATGGAGACTGTGGGGACTTTGGGTTTAATCAAGGGTCAGCTGCCACTTGTAGAAGGTGAATTGGAGTGAAGAGAAAGCATGAAGGTAGCAGGGCCCGTGAGAGGGTTCTAATCAGTAGCACCCACACATGCACACTAAGGCATAAAGCTGGCCACAGCCGGTGACCCACTGTGGTGTAGGAGGGAGTGCAGATTGCTTTAAGGGAGAAGTTTTGTCAGAGGAAGTGGTGTGCTTCAAGCTGAGCCTTGAAGGAGGAGCCACCAAAGTAAGGACTAGAGACAGGAGGCAGAGGCAGGTGGACTCTCCAAGTTCAAGGCCATCCTGGTCCACAGAGTAAGTTCCAGCACATCCAGGGCTACATGGAGAAATCCAGTTTTGAAGGTGGGTGGGCAGGGAACCCAGAGGACAGATTTTAGGTAGGACAGTGAGGTGAGGAATGAGCGTGAAGAACCTGGTCCAGGCAGAGTTGCAGGGTCCTATGGAGAGAACAGAAGCACAGTCAGATTGCCATCTAACTGTATTTATATTTGTATCTGTCTTTGTCTCTGTGAACGTGAGTGCAGTGCCTGATGAGCCAGAAGAGGGTATTAAGTTTCCTGGAAATGAGTTAGAGGCAGTTGTGAGCTCCTGGTGCTGGGAGCTGAATTCAGGTCCTCTCACGAGCCGTGGGGACACTTAACTGCTGAGCTTACTCTGCAGCCCCCACATAGGTGTTACTCATTGTGAACTTACTGTGGAGGCAGATAGTAACAAGTCTACATTGAGTGAGACTGGAAAGGGGGCAGGGCTCAGAAACGGAGGGAACACAGAGGTTGCATTTTGTATTTGGTTCATTTAAGAGATCTGCAGATGCTTGCAAGTGTGCATCCGAAGGACAGGTTGTTTGTTGGTTTGTTAAGTAGGCGAGATGACTCAAAGTACAGCTGCCAAGCTGGATGACATAGTGGAAGGAGAGAAACAGCTCACGTTCTGACTTCTAGATGTGTGCCACGGCATGCACATATGCACATGCACGCGCACGCATACACACACACACACACACACACACACACACACTAAATGGATGAAGGGATAAATAAATGCAATTTTGTGACCCTCTCACCCCATTCTGCAGAATACCAAACTGCCAGTTAACGTCCCCAAACCAGCACGGTTCAGTAGCATCCAAGAATACAGACCTCACCTGTGAACAGACCAGGGTTCAGACCAGCACCCCACTTGCACGTTGTGGATCTGTACCTTACCTCTCTTCAGCAGGCAAATGGAAAGAACAGTACTTGCAGAGTTGCTTGTGGAGAGGGGACCATGACTGAATTCAGGGGCAGGTACTGAAGGAAGTGTGTCAGCTGGTCAGTGTTGACCATGTTCAGAGCAGGGAGAAGCCAAGGCTTCTCATGGTGTGGGTCATGCTGGGGGGAAAGGCTTTCCTGGGAGGCTAGACACAGTTTTGAAGGAGAGCCCTTTCTTCCTTTTTTTAAATAATCGTGCAGGGCAAAGGCTCACCTTACCTGTCAAAACTTCCTCACCAGCTCCCTGTGCTCCCCCACCCCCATTCCTATGCAACACATGCCCC